AACCCCCCCCCCCCCCCAAATGATTAATTTTGCCATCCACAGTTTAATAAACCTTGCATACACCTTTAAAACAATTTAACCCCTTGAATATTTTTTCTGGAGCATCGATGTTGAAAATTATAGGGAACCTTATAGGAAGATGGTCGCTGGTTATAATGACTGGCCATCCTTTTAACTAAATCAACCTTTATAAATTGATTTAAGGTCGAATCCAAGTGCAGAGTGGGATAGATAAATGATTCGTGAGTATGAGGAAATTACTTATTTCCCCGGGAAAATCCATTTTGGCGGGGAAATCCCATGGAGTCTCCCTTAAAGTATATATATTTTGTATGTCAACTTGTAATTGAGTTTATATGGGATTTTTATACGGATCAAAAAGCGTTATTGTCTTTTCACAATACTTTTGGAGATAGAATAAAAAAGATGAGAATTTTGTTATTTTAAGTTAAAGCAAATTATATAGAATTTTGAAAACAAGACTTATCTTACTTGCAAAGGTGTTTGGGATTCACGCATGGGCTTATTTCAGGTTTTACGATAATGAAGATTAAAAAACTAAGCTTTAATGCTTAAGTAATATTTTGCACTTGCCAATGTTTTTTAAGTGAATGATTGCAAAAATTAAAAAATACAAGTTAAATAGATTTCAATCATTTACAAGGAGTCTAGATTACGGTGAAGAGGAGCAGCGACTGTACTATAAGCGTATCCGTTTAATTTTCAGCACCTCTTCTATAAAATACTTTTATCTGTTTTGTTTGTGAAATAAACATCTTAGTTACGGAATATTGTTGCATACAGATTTTTGTTGAGAGTACTCAACATGTTAATAAATGCAATTAACTTTCGTGTCCGCCCGGCTGACAGCTATTTAGCGTGAACCCCCAGGGAGTTAGGTCGATCTAAAGTAGTTCGATCTAATCTATGGAAATGGGGTGAAAGATGTAATCAACAATTCACGATATATTCAAATTTCCATAGAGACTTTCAAAAGCTAAAACTGGTTTTATATTTGTTTTGAAAAAAAAATAAGGGAACTTAGGCTATATGCACTAATGCCTTTTGGGAAGGCGACAGCATGACGTGCCCTTCAAGTTAGTTTCGCTTTAGACTTTCCCCACAATAATTTCTTGGGGTAAAAAAGAGAATTGATAACCAAGATGAAAGCATATAATTACGTCAGTTTGATTGTTCTTATTGAATTAACCAGCTGTCGACAAATATTGACTGTTGACTGCAACAACAACAACGAATCGATTCAAATAAAATGTTAACATGCTTTTAGGACATTGCACTTTAAGCTTACAAAGAAAAACTCAAAGATGTTTTCAACAACACATTCTAAGAAAAATTCTTGAATAATATGAAAGCACCAGATGATGAAATTCAAACGAAATAAATTGTTTCCCCAGTGTCGAAAGCAATGTGAACTTTTTTATCTGTACAAACCGAGGAGGAGTTATCAAAAACCTCTTATCTTAATATTCGTAAGCAGTCGCTCAGACTTGGATGTGGATGAGGGTGGTGAGGTGGCAGGAACGTGGCTATCTTCTTAATCGACTCAGTTATGGCAACATGTTGCATATCAATAAAAGTTTATTTCAGCAGCTTTTCATTTTATTAATTTGATTTGTTTCTAATAAAAAATTTAAACTCCAATCTATAACAGCTGCACGACGATTATCGAAGATGAATACCGGTAGGCCTATACACTTAAAAATAGATGGTATTGAACGTGATAACACGACAGCCTTCAACTGATTTTGTATTATGCAAACATTAATTAATGCAACCGTTTTCGCAGAAGACGAAAGAGGAACCGAAACTGGTCTAGTTCTTGAGTTATTTTTATTTTATGGCCTCTTGCCAAGTATAGAGCATGCGTAGTAGTTCATAGTGAATCATTTGAACGACGCATTATATTGGTGTCATCTAGTTTGAGTGGGATCTCTCGGCTGTTTGATAATTTGACTTCGAAGATGGACAAAAGAGTGTTACTACTGATTTTGGCGTGTGCTTTTTTACCTTGTTCAAGGTAGGGATTGCGCTGTTGCTTCGAAAATGTTTCAGCTTTTCTTGAGACAAGCTTGATTGTGAGCCAGTCGGCAACCTTGGTATAAGGGGAATTTGGGGAAAGTTATACCAGTGAAACACGATGGAATGCCAAGAAAAGAATCGACCATTGTGTTAACTTTTATTTCAATATCCGAATTATTTTTTATTTCCCATTTCAATGTATGATTGTTGGTAACTCTTAGAGAAGTAAAGGAATTAACCTCATACATGTGATTTGCAACCGTTAAGAATGTTCCAAGTCCTGCTGTCGGGTCCAACATAAAGATCGTACGAAGTCATATGACGTAATGTGTTATAGTCCAATAGGTCATACATACGAACCGAGCATCGGTGTAGCATGGATTCCCAGTAACACATGTAAACCACTTCTACTAGATTCT